GCATACCGTGACAGTATCACTTGCCAATACATTTCTCAGAGTACAACCCTGTCATTCACTGATGCTTGCCTGTGTTTCCTGAGCACCTACTATGTATCCGGCTGCCCTGCATACTATAGCTTTCACAGTGAGAGATGAGACCCTGTAATTTTGAGTCTGAGAAAGGCATCTGAGGGTGTTTCCATGGCTAGGAAGAGCCATTAACCAAACACAAACGGATCTTTGACACCAGGTTGCTTTGATTCACATCTTGGTTGCCAAATACTTATTGTAAAATACTTGGTCAACTATTGCCTGCTGTGTCTGTGTTTCCTGTTCTGTACCATGGATGTAATAATACCAAGGCAGTATTCTTCTTGAAAGAACTAAAGATAGTATACACACAAAAGTGCCTGACAATAATAATAAAAGAGGCGTGCGATCAAGGCATAATTTTTAACACTTCTATACCCCGCATGCCTTCCAGCAAAATAGACACATAGCAGTTTGTTGGTTAAGAGTAACCGAACAACATGGTACTTAGTCATCCTCACTTAATAAATCAGCAGAGATGTTGGATAGCAGTTTTTTAAAGGCAAGATGCCTGTCTCCTGTCCCTGCCAGCCCAGAAACGGGTGACACCGGGATAGCTGAGGTTCTTTCGATGTATCAGGTGGTCTTCAAAAGGACTGAATAGCAAGACGGTCACATCATGCAATGTTTTCAATCCTCTGAAGACCACTTTAATAAAACTCTTTTCAGTTTTGGTATCCTTAAGAAAATGCTGAGCAAGTTAAACAAGATGGAAATGTAGCCATATTTAAGGACTAAGCTACATGTACAGTACAGACGCACTTGCGCTGACTGACCTAAATAATAGCATCCCTGAAAGAAGCTGCATGTTTTAAGTTTCTAAAGGATGTAGCTCTGGGATTATGATGAAATTATTCTTACACATAATTATATTGCTAAACACTTCCCATAAATACGAAATGGTAGTGGAAAAATACATTTGAATCTAACCAAAAAGAAAAATACCTTTTCATTTTTTAAATAGTGTTTGAATAAAATTCCAGGATAAAAAGGATTTTACACGTTCTCTTATTGTTAGTGCAATAACTGTTGAAATAAACTATGAGTAGAGATTAAGAGCCAGAGCCAAAAAGAAAGAAGGGAGAAGGAATTAGCTGGTATTTACAAGATTTTTCTTTTCTCTATTAGCCGGTTGGATTGTTTGCGGAAGAAGAAAGGAAGAGTGAAGTGACAGACTGTATAAGAAAGTTTCTTTTCTGTTTAAGTTTTTCACATTCACTGACATTGAACTGCCGATTTTAATTAGGGATTATCAGTCTATAAAAACACATGGACTCGCTGGTATTTAGAGCATTTAGTGAATCACTGGATCACAGGAACAGGATATGAGTTCTCTAGAACTGTTATTTGATGTCTATCTGTGTGTGTTTTAGGTTAGCCACTGAGATGCAATCTTCAGATAGGATGTAGTGGCTTTCTTGGAATAACAAACCACAGCATATAACTATGTTAAGGCAGGATGAATTCGAAAGTGTTTGGATGAGCTTGGGAAAATGATAAATGATGTATTATGATTTTTCAATCCTCATCTGGCCAACTTTGTACTTTATTTCAAACAGCTGTGGTCCATTTGGAAGCCATTTTGTAGCTCAGCAGAGCACTAATATTTACTGTATGAATCACATACCTTAAAAAATATTTGTCTTTCCTGAGAGAAACTATTTCTTTCCCAAACTTAACTTTGACATAAATCAGACCCATCCTTATAGGTTAGGTTTCTTCACACTTGATCACTGAGTTGATCATTCATTGCTAAAGACTGTCGCACGACCTCCTTGGGCTTTGCGAGTAGAGGATTTTCTTCAACTATAACTCTAGGCTTTGAAACATTTTTGAAAAACTTTCTAACAATAATTTTAAGTATCTGTTCTAAAGTAACAGTCTCCACTTCCTCTGAGTGTGGAATGCTTACATACGAACGCTGCTGTCTCGTTTGGGCCTTTGGACAGTCCCATTACTGGGGATCCAGAGAGTTTCAAGGAGCAGCATCAGAGTCATATACAGGTTGCAGTTTTGGAACTATTAGATAGTTCTCAAAGGTGGAGGGCCTAATTACTATTGGGTAGACGACCTCAGATTTTCATTCTGATCTGGGCTACTCCCCTTTAAACACAATTACAGAAACATACCTCCTTAAATGACCCCCTGTGACTTCTCCCTTTGAACACCTGCAGTTATTTGGGAATGTTTGGACCCATCAATCCACATAATGTAATGTGATGAGTTTACTCTTTCGTAAAGTGGTATTTAGGCACTTATGTGGTGATCCCAACATAGCCAATCCATCAATAGCCAATGGGGAGCCATTTGTAGAAAACAGGGATCTCGGAATGCTAGTCAGGTATCCCATAACAACATCGATCCTGGAGAGAACAAGACCATATGTTCAGCCTGAAATGCATGGAGTTAGCCACCTTTCTCTCCTGGTTGTTAATCAACACATTTAGGAAACTTAACACTTTGTGTGAAGTTAACTGCCAGAAGCCCAGCAAAGGGTAACATCATACTTAAACTGTTGCTGTTTCAATAGACACCAAATGAAAGAAAGATAAGATGCTAGAATCAGCCATCTGTTGATAGATTTGATGCTAGAATCAGCCCATCTTATCTTTGCTACTTAGAAAATGACACTTTGGGCAATGCTGGGGACAAAATCATGTTCTGCTGCACTTTAGAAGCTACATGAACCCTACTTAGCCAATGGAAAACACAGCATATGTAGCACATTAATAAAAATCGTGACAGAAGTATTTAGGATACACAAATATATATTGGCATCAAATATAAGTTGACTAAACATTTTCTTCAAAATCCTCAATGCACATCCATCAGTATGAGAGAAGACCCTTCTCAAAACTGTGTTGTGCTGCACTCCTGTGCTGCATGTACCCCTATGCATGCGTGTGGAGACCAGGGCAGGACTTCAGGTGTGTTCCACTCTCCGTCTCTACCTTTTGACCTTGAGGCAGGATCTCTCACTGAACCTGCAGGTTCACCTAGGCTAGCTGGCCAACAAGCTCAGCTCTCTGAATCCTCCTGTCTCTGCTCCATAATGCTAGGGGTACAACACGAACAGCTGTGGCTGCCTTTTACATGAGTTCTGGGGACTCAAACTAGTCTTCATGTTTACAGAGCAAACACTCTTATCCAGTGATTCATCTCTCCAGTGCTGCCAAACTATTTTAAGTTATTAAAGTAAGAATAAACGGTGTGCTTAAGAACATTAATTAAAAATTATGTCATAGAAAAATGGGATTAAGGGGAAACTATTCACAGGAATTTAGCTCTCAGAAAAAAAAATCAATCAATCCATCAATCAGTCAATACAAATCAGAAGTGCTCTGTGTTTCTAAATGTGGCCGAACCAACCATGGGTCATATTGTTCAAAGGCTTTACTCTATTCTAGCGTTTATTTGTATTCATGTAAGAATTTCCGAAAAAGACTCTGAATTTGAATTTTGATAACCAGTGCAGTCCTGTAAATTTAGAATACTCCTGTACTTGGGTCAAAAGATGTATTAGCTTTTTACTAAGAACAATAAGAAAACTAAGTAGAAATTTTAAGTTTCTTCGGTCTCTTATTTAGTAAATATGGCAAGATGATCAAATGGGAATATTTTAGTAATTATTGATTATTTTAGTTGGTTTTTACTATACAAAACTACCAAAGTTCTTAAGCACACCTTAGAGGGTAGGAACCACGTTTGTTTCATAGAGGCCTCCTATGATCTATCTACGAGTTAACCATGTGTTCACCTGAAGTAACATATTTTGCTGTAATTAAAATATTCATGACTAAATAATACTTCTCAGCTCTAGAATTTCAGGGTTGGGTTCTGGGATCAGCAAACCACAGTCACTGGAAAGCAAAGATTGCCCCCTAGTGCCAGCTGCCTGGTACATGGAATTAGACGCAATTTTTATATAACAATTCTTATACAGACTAATGCTTATATAGACATATAGTTTGCTAGTCATATCAAGGGAAATACATTTCCATCTCTACAGTCGATGATGAACAGTATCTTGTTCTTTTGGGCTGATTTGAAATGATTGTCAGACGTGTAATGTGGAACCTTGAAAGCACAAGCTTTGTGGCCACATGACCTTTGGCACACAAGCCAGTCATTTTTCAGTGCTTTCATTCTATTTCAGATGATTTTGCCTTTGTTTTGAAGATTATTCCCTCTCTAAAGTAGAAAGCCCCGTGAAAATCTGTTCATTTTAGAACACTTTCTCCTTTGCAAAATGAAGTGTCCCCATAGCTGTGTCATCTGTGTTTCTGTTGCTGAGGACATGACTAGTGCAGGCCACGCAGCGTAGCAGGCTGTGGCCCTGACCACTCGGCACCCCTATTCCAGGTTCAAATGTGTCCTTGGCTGACACTCCTACTTCCTGAATCCTTGGAAATAGAATTGGGTGCTGATAATCTTAAAATTGTGTTGAACCCAGAGATTCCATCATATGTCCAATTATTTCCATATTGAACATGATGTGTGGCCTTTGAATTCCATCTTGTTTTTGTACTTAGCATGGACCATACTTGTGAGAATATGACTGTACTGTAGATTCAGTTGTCTGTCATATAAATATGAACATTTTATTCCTTGTGCATGTTTTTCGGGAAGCCTCTGTCAATACTGCCTTTCCAAGCCATTTATTTTCACTCCCAAAGCAACCCAGACGAATCCTTTCATATACATTATGTAAAGTGCAAAATTCTACCATTGCTAATTTTTTCCCTATACAGTCTGTTTCCCTCTTTCAAATCTGCCACAGGAGGAAAACACAATCTTCAGAGAGATATGTTATTATATTATATTATATAATTATATGTATGTACGTGAAATTATCGTTCCGTATTGTGCGTCTCTGAAAACAAAAGCAGATGCACTTTCTAATTTAAGATTCTTTGTTGTTGTCACAGGTCTATAAAAAGAAAACTGAGGCTGCAAAGAAGGAATACCTGAAGCAACTAGCAGCGTACAGAGCCAGCCTTGTATCCAAGGTAACGTGCAATTGTGTGGTACCGGGACTGATTGTTACCCTCTCAGTGCAGAATCTGATAGTCATTTAAAGGCATCAAATATCATATTAGCATTTCTACACAATTTTCTTTGTTGGAAAAAGTACATCCTGAATAAAGCTATATGTTGCAGAAATATTTGTTCATCACTGGAAGACCAGAACAGTGGCTTTTGCAAAACATTGTCCACCTGTGGATTATTGACTTCCCAGTTAAACACAGAACATTCTAAATCTGGAGCCAACTTTGTTCCTCCAGACCTGACTCCTGCATGATCCCCCTCCAATCCTGTGGGCCTTTACTGAGAAGACGTCACCCACTTCAAGTTCTAATATCAGCATCAGAATATAAAGCAACCAAAATGTTTTTAATTATATCATTTTGCTTGAAAATAACTATACTTAAATATATTTTATGCTTCAGGATATCTTGTATGTTAGCCCTTGCTGTTATGTGTATTAGAGTAGACTCTGTTTGGTTTCTTGCTATTAAAAATACATTTCCCTTCATAGAATTTTCAGGAGGTGACCACAGATCAACAGGGCTGTATCTAGAAAGACATGACATTGTGACATGTCATGTTCAGATTGTTGATACTTGTGTTCATTGTGACCTAGGCTATGGACTTCACTGAATGAGCCCATGAAAAATGTTTTTTTAATCCACATATATACGTTCCCATTATAACAACCCTAAAATAATTACATAAATGAGGTTTTTATTAAAGAAAATACAGAAAAAAAGCAAAATATAAATACATAAAAGATTTAAGTATAATATTCTTATAATCCAGTCTTTTCTATTTCTAAGGTGTAACCTCGTAGGAAACTTACTGTTTATTATTTAAACTTAGATTTTCCTTCCATATTATCTCATTCTAGATCTCTTAATTTCTAATTTATCTAACTCCTTTTGAACTTATTTGCATTTTCAGCCAATCCCACATCTCAGAGTGCACATAGAATTCACAGACTGTTCATAAAATTGTAACAAAAACACCTCACCACATATAAGATTCATCTTGCCACTAGTCACGTTGATATTTTATCACATTCATACACTCAAATTATGAGAGACTTTTAAAACAAATTATTTCATCCAAGGTGAGTTTGTTTTTGAGCATTTTCAATAGTTTTAGCTAGAGTGAGTTTACTTGTAAGAAAATCAATATGGGAAGTGTTGGTCCTTATACAAAGTGCTCTGGCTGATGACACACAGAGTGCCAGGGTGCTGCAGTACTGACTAAGCCTTCATTTCCAGAACAAGTGACCGCGGATTTGCTTAGATGCAGATTTCTCACTGTTCAGTCTCCAAGTTGCAGCTCTCCATGTACAGCAATTTGAATAAATGCTGCAAATTGCCATTTCTGCATTTAAGAAACGAAGCACTTTTTTTTACAGCTTACTCTGACATTTTTCTTCTCTTTGGCGGTAGGAATTTTGCTGGAGCTGTTGAATCTCTGTTTATGTACAGCTCTCTATTATGTGTATACAAATTGAAGGGAAGTTTCAATCACTCTCTCTAGCTTAGAAAAATGACCCTGTGGTGCTGTGTGTGAGCAAGTATTTGCTATATAACCTTCTGCACACGTACAAAAAATTTACCAGCCTTCCTCCCAGAGCATGTGGTACCATGTATACAAATCCATTTCTTTTCCATTTTACTTATAGTTAGGTAAGGAACATCCACTCATATGTAAACATCTATTTTCTGTTATAATTTTGTACTATAGTATAAATTATTTTCCTACTCTGAAAGACCTAAAGCAACAAACAGATAATTATAATTTCAAGTAAGCACCATGTGCCAGCCAGGCTTCATTCTTTTTTGTTATTGTTCATCCATTCGTGTGTTTATTGGCAAATTTTCCTGAGAATGTGGATATGCTCTGTGCCAGGCACAGAGAATACGGGAGACAGAAGGCAAATTTGGGCTCTTCTTATAAAGAACATTTTCTAGTCAGGGAAGACCCCTAATAAAAGCACAGAATAATAAATGATTAAAGTTTGGAGAATCTAAGGTCGCTTAGCAAAGGCTTGGCTACAAAGGCCTCTTAGAAGAGGTGGCATTCGAGTCAGGGGTCCAAGGAGCTTGCACAACCAGGAAGAACAGACAGTAATGCAGAGGGGGTTATGCGATCAGACCCAGAGGATTGGAGGGACTGTGCATGGGGCCTGCACAGGGCAGTAAAAGGAGCTGGAATTTAATCTCAGTGCAGAGGGAGCCACTGAATGGCATTCAGTAGGGAGCAGAAATGTAAAGGCTCACTTTACAAGCATGAATTCCCTTAACCCACATGCTACACTCCTTGAAATAGGTTTAATTACCAGCATTCTGCTGAAGAAAAGAGTAAGCAGGAAACCATTGACAGAGGCACCATTGCCTACAAGGCCCTTATCTTTTGTTTGAGCTCCACCCCAGCCCCCCATCTTTCTGCCGGGCCTAAACACACCGCTCTCCTGCATCCTCCAAGTCCCCACTCTACTGACGCTGTGGCGTGGCACTGGCATTCTCTCCTCAAAGGCTGCTTTTTTTCCCATGAAAAACAGTGTTGACCAGAGCACCACAGCCATTTTCCTGGGTTCCTGCACGGACTTTGCTTTGCTCCTCAGGAGACTTATACCCAGCAAGTTACTTTCTATTCAGTGCCCTTCTTTCTCTTGCATGCCTAGACCGATAGACCTCACTCACTCCTGACCACATCATGGCCATCTACTGCCCACTCCACATCGTACTCTGTGCTCAGCCCAGGCTGCAGGACACTGTTCCATGTCAGGCCCACTGGAAGGTGCTGAAAGGCAAACAGGAGCAGACAAGTCCCTGTGGAATGTTTCTTGACACTTGAAAGGTTCGAAGCTGTTCTCTAAAATTAGCTGCTTCTTACAGAACATAAGCAAAAATAGAAAGAGCCAGTGACGATGACTGTTCATGTGAAACTGAGTCCTGGGAACACTGTTCCTCCCCTGCCATTTATTACTTTATGAGAGGTATGATATGTCGTCTAATCCGGTATCTCCATCAACATGGCTCCAAGCTTGGAAAAATTGAAATCTACCCCAAAGAGAAAAGCCCTAGGGGTGGTCAATAATATTCTCACCTCTGTGCTTCAACACAAAAGTCCTGGTGGATCTTTTGCAATAATAGCGTACAAGGAAATGGCCTCCTGCTACTGAGTCACCTCTCCGAGCCATTTCCCATAGATTCCGACTGGCTGTCAGAACCATCCTGCATGGCAACTTCCCTCCCAAGCAGAGACTGAATGTTTTGCCCTCCTGGAGAGCAAGGCACTGATGACACTGAAAGCTCGAACTCAGTGTCTTGTTCTAGAGCTTCTAGGCTTTTCTCTACCCTGAATGACTGTCGAACCTTCCTCATCTTTATAACTTGAATGTCTTTTTTTCTCCAATAAGATTCCAAGCCAGCTCTTACCTATTAATAGCTAAGAGTGAATCTGCCTTGACTTAAGCAAGGCTGGTGTCTGGAAGGCTGCCCACTCTTAGCACCATGCCACCACCCTCAGAGGCTGACCAGAAGACTGAGGAATTGGGGCCTGCAGAATGCTGGAGTCTCTGGCCCTGTACCCCAAAGCTCTAGCTGGGTAGTGCTTTATCTGGTCACATGGGACAGTGACAGGACCATCCAGCACCAGCCTCTTCTGCCAGTTCAGAATATCTGAAAGTTTCAATGGAAGTGCTGAGCACTACAAACACAGTGCTAGGCAGATCTCAGAATAACTTCGTCCATTTTAGCCACTATTACTTAAAAGAAGTTAGAAAACGAGCATTGGAAGGTCCAAGGTTAAAAGGCAGTAGTACAGAAAAGAGGACTCACATTTTTTAAGTTCAAAACACAAAGATTTGAGGATGCACATGGCCATACTGGGCACTAGGCAGAGGGCAGGGGTTACCCACACTGTACTTGTTCTGGCTGTAGAACAAGAAGCTAGCAGGTATTTCAAAGGAAAGACATGAAATCTGGGGTCATTGCCAAAGTTGTAGAGTTAGATTTAACATTTTCTTCTAGTTGGGACTAGAGAGATGGCTCCACGGTTAAGAGCACCGACTGCTCTTACAGAGGACCCGGGCTCAATTCCAAGCACCCACATGGTGGCTAACAACCATTCCTAACTCCAGTTCCAGGGGATCTGACACCATTTTCTGACCTCTGTGGGTATTGCATGACATGGGTGCACTTACATGCATGCAGGTAATGCACTCATACACATAAAATCAAAAAATAAATAAAATACTTTAAAAAACAATTTCTTCCACTTGAAATGTTTAAAAATCAGAAGCAGAGGTTGTAACTGAGGGTCTAGAAAAAGCCTATGAAATAACTTCAACCTCTGTGTTTCCATATAGCATCAAGGGAGCCATGCTAGAGGAGATTTCAAAGGGTACCACTGTCATTCTCTGAGAGCCTCAGAGAGCAGAAAAGTCTGCAACCACGAAAACAGAGGAACCTGGGTTCAATCACAGCTCCCCACCACCTTTTCTCATGTCTACAGGCAATGACTTGGATGTTCTAAGTTCCAGCTTACTTAAGTATTGAGCAGATAAGATAACAGAACCTTTCTCATAGAATTTGTAGAATAAAGTACAAAAAGGTATACACACTTCACTTGAGGACATTATGCTAAATGAAGTAAGTCAGTTAAAGACCAAGTCTTACATGATTCTACTTACATGTAGTGTCTAAAATGGTCATGTTCACAGATTCAAAAAAGTAGAATGATGGTTGCTGTGTGCTAGGGGGAGGGAAAGGACTACTAACCAATAGGCATAAAATTCCAGCTAGCAGAATTAGCTCCAGAAGTCTGCTGCACAAACATTGTACCTGTAATGGACAATAATTTTTATCCACTTAAAAGTATGTTAAAAAGGTAGATCTTGAGGCTGGAGAGATGGCTCAGCAGTTAAGAGCACTGACTGCTCTTTCAGAGGAGCTGGGTTTGATTCCCAGCACCCACATGGCAGCTATGA